GGGGCTGGCTGGCATGTGGTGCTAGGGGATTGAACCGCGGTCCCTGTGCTTAGCTTGTTCTAAGTAGGTGCTTTAGACCACTGAGCCATCTCACCAGCCCTGTATTTGGTTCTTGCATTTTATTCATTATTAATTTTTTAAAATTTATTTATTTGTGTGTGTGTGTGTGTCCAGCTCAGCCCACCAAGGGGCGGGGCTGGCTGGCATGTGGTGCTAGGGGATTGAACTGTGGTCCCTGTGTCTGCCAAGCTTGTTCCAAGTAGGTGCTTTAGACCACTGAGCCATCTCACCAGCCCCAGTAGTGTTTTTTGATAGGGACAAATAAGTTATCTAAGGGAAAACCACTCTATTTCAGATTTATCAGATGAGGCTAAAAATACCACTTCTGTGAAAAAAAACTCAATAGATCTGTTTGATTGTTGGGTTTATTGGGAGAAATACTTGTAATTTTTTTTTTTTTTTTTTTTTGCGGAACCAGGGATTGAACTCAGGCCCTTGTGCTTGCCAGGCAAGCACTTATTTTACTGAGCCATCTCCCCGGCCCCAATACTTGTAATTATGACAGCCAGCACACTAAACATTTACTGCCAGTCAGGCACTGTACTAAGCAAGCTTGAAATATATTAACTCATTTAGTCTCAGAATAGTCTTGTGAGGGGGCCTGCTCATTAGCTCAGCTGTTTAAGTGTATACTTAAGTGAAGTAGTCAGGTTCAGGATGCTGTGGTTCAAACTCAGATACTCCCACCAAACCAGAAATGCCCAGAAGGCGTCTTGGGGCAGCCAAAAAAAAAATACTTCTGCCATTTAAAAAAAAATAGTCTTGTGAGATACATGCTGTTATCCCCATTAAGGATGGGGATGGGGATCCTTAAGGTAAGGATATTGTGGTGCAGAGTGGTTAAGTGACATATCCAAGCACTCTCAAAGCAAGTAAATAACAGAGTTATGTTGACTCCCAGACCTGCCATTTACTAGCTGTTTGAGGATCGTATGTGGCTCAGGACCCACTGAAGTGGAGCTTATAAGTTAGGTAGTCTTCATGCTATTAAAAGTCATGGACTAGCTGGGCATGGTGGTACATGGCTGTAATCTCAGCATTTGGGAGGCCAAGGCCAGAGAATTGCTGTCAGTTCAAGGCCAGCCTATGCTACATAGTGAGTTCAAGGTCAGCTTGAACTACATAGTGAGAGTCTATCTCAAAAAAAAAAAACAAAACAAAGAAAGGGGGCCAGGGAGATAGCTCAGTAGAATAAGCACTTGCCTGGCAAGCACAAGGGCCTGATTCAATCCCCAGTTCTGAAAAAAAAAAAAACAAAAAAACAAAGAACCCCCCCAAATCAAATTTAGTGACTGTCTTAGTTACTTCTCTCTCTCTCTCTCTCTCTCTCTCTCTCTCTCTCTCTCTCTCTCT